AAAGGAGGAGGTTCTCAATTGGACTGTATGAGTTTTTTGTATGTATGTTACGCGATAACTCCGGTATTTGTGAACCGATTCTTTTTTTGTTGAAAAGGGGGTACTTCCATAGTGGTCCCATTTCATTTTGAAGAAAATCATCCACCTCGAAGGGTGGCTGCTCACGCATGAAGATTCATTTTTATAAATAGCGCCTAACTTTAATTTAGGAGCAATTACTTTAATGGTTGATTTTGCTATTTCTCCAATTCAAGGCGTTTTTCTCTCAATATACTTTGAGTAGTGAGAACCGATTTTTATTATCTCCAGTGTCAAGTCCTGTATAGTGGCGAACTAGGGGATATTTCAATAAAACTTAGCAAATTGACGTAATTCCACGTACTTTTGAGGTCGTTATTTTTTAGTACTCTGTACTGAGATTATTAGATCTTTATACGAGGCATGCCTTTTAAGTTTTCGAAGAAAGAACACTTCTAGAACCTTATAGTATCCATTATCAAAATATTCACCACGTCGTTACCACGTAGAAAATTTGTTAAAAGATACAATAAAATAATCAATTTAACTCAACTTGCTCAGAATAACTATCACATTTATAAGTCAAGTAATAAATCGAAGGCTACATGGCAGATTATAAATGAACAAAAAAATTTTACGCCTAAGGAACAATTCACTGAAATTGTGCATGATGGTAAACGTGTTACTAATCCTTCAAAGATTGCTCAACTTTTTAATGACTACTATATTAATATTACGAAATTAAAACATAACAAAAATCTAAACTTCAAATCTACTTGCAAACACAACAGTCCTTCCTCTTTTTTTTATGAAGCCCACTGATCCTGGATCTATTGCACAGATTATTAATCTACTTAAAAACACAACAAGCACGGGTTATGACGACATAAACACTAAAGTATTAAAAAATACATGTCTTACTATATCCCCAATTTTAAGCTACATAGCAAACCTTTGTTTTGAACAAGGAATTTACCCTACCGCACTAAAAACTACAATAATCAAGCCCATATATAAAAAAGACGATAGAAAAGAGTTAAAAAATTACAGACCAGTGGCCCTAATACCGGTACTCTCAAAGATTTTTGAAAAAGTGATACACAATAACCTGTACGATTATTTTGAAAGCAAAAACATATTTGCAAAAGAGCAAAAAGGATTTCGAAGAGGAAAATCAATAGATGTAGCTGTTTATGAGTTTTTGAGTAGGGTGTATTCAGGAATGGATAGAAAGAGGGAAGTCTTCGCCATGTTTTTAGACATGACAAAGGCTTTTGATTTTGTTGATCACAGAATACTTTTAGGAAAACTGGAGACCTACGGTGTTCGAGGTAACTCTTTGTCTGTACTTAAGTCCTACCTTAGTGATAGAATTCAATTAACAAGAGTAAATAGAATCTGCAATAAAAAAAAAAAAAATATAATAATAAATCTGCAATAGAAAAAATATATACATCCAGATCAAATACGCTTATTCATGGTGTCCCTCAAGGAAGTATCTTGGGGCCACTCTTATTTTTAATTTATATTAATGACATAATAAAATCCACACTTTATCCGATGGTACTATTTGCAGATGATTGTACTATACTGTACGAAGACAAATCTAAAATACTTGACAGTCTTAAAGAAGTAGTAGAGTGGCTTAATAATAACAACTTAAGTATAAACCTCAGTAAGACTAAAGTTATGAGCTTTCAACTAACAAAATCCCCCTTGAACCCATTTACTAATAATAACATTGACGTTGACATGACCACTACTACTAAATTTCTAGGCTTGTATATAGACAGTAACATAAAATGGCAATCCCAAATAGAATTTATATGTAAGAAGGTGAATCAGTTCTCATACGCGTTATTTATGTTAAGGAAGAAAGCTAGCCTCGAGGTGGTTCTAACAGCATATCACGGTTTCATAGCTTCAAAATTGCGCTACGGAATAATTTTCTGGGGTAATGCTATAAATGTGAAGAGAGTGTTCCTAGCACAAAAGAAGTGTATTAGAGCAATGTGTGGTCTAAAACGAACAGATAGCTGCAGACCTTATTTTAAGAAACATAAATTACTAACGCTAATGTCTCTTTATGTATTTAATACCGCAGTTTTCATCAGACGCAATCCAAACTTCTTTAATTGTGTTAAGAGTGCCCGTAGGAATAATAAACTTGACAGCGTAGGTGGCAGATCCTATGTAATAGTATTATTGCAATGAGTGCCAAGATTTATAATAAATTACCATCTGACATAAGGAACATTAAGGACATTGTAACATTTAAAAGAAATCTATTTGAATACCTTGTTAATGAAACATTTTACTCTATAAACGAATATTTCGGTAATAATTAAGTGATTTGACATTAAATAAAATTGAGTAATAATTAAGTAAAATAACTATGTTCATCATCCACTTATGTAGTTCGTATGCCTGAAGGTGCAACATAGAGGGTCGCTATAACTTATTTCATACCATGTATTTCAATGTACTGTATCCTATGTTGACGAATAAATGCATTTGATTTGATTTGATTCGTTTAATACAGTTTTCCATTCGCTCGAACCAGTTATTAAAACATTAGTTCCACTCCAAAGTAGGGGTGATCAATATGTTTGTCTTGAAAGCGCCCGACTGCTTGTTCACCGGATTGGCACCTTTGACCACAAAGAGTATTCTTAATGTTAGGAAATGTAAAGAAATCGTTAGGGCTTAGGTCAGGACTGTATGGAGGATGGTCAAGAATGTCTACGTTTTCCTGTACCAAATACTGAACAGTTTGACGAGCGCTGTGTGAGCTTGCGTTGTCATGGTGTAAGATAATGCGTCGCTTTTGGTTAGATTTCCGTAGTTCGACCATGACTTGTGGTAAACAAAATTTGGTATATCACTCTGCATTAATCGTTCTGCGATCTTCAAGTGCAATCGTCGCAATATGACTAGTTTTCGCAGCAAATGTGGCCACCATGTTCTTTGAAGTGCTTCGAGAGCGAATAGCTTTAGTCGGCTTTGGCTCGTCTGGGGAGACTCAGACTGTAGATTGTTATTTGGAATCAGGTTTGTAGGCGTAGATCCAAGATTCGTCACCACTGATGATATCGTATACGTGATTTGACTCTCCTCGGTTGAACCTTTGGAGAGTTTTCTTACACGATCTGACTCAGGCCGTCTTATTATTGTCGAAAAGCAAATGCGGGATCCAACGGCAAACTAGCTTTCTCACACCAAGCGCCTCATGCAAGATTTTCCGAATGGTTGTCCCTGAGATGCCTATTAACGGCTCTATCTCTCGATATGGCACATGACGATCTTCGAGAATTAGTTGTCTCACAGCAATGATGTTTTCTTCAGTGAAGGCGGATTTTGGATGTCCCTCACGAGATTTGTCATTAAGACTGGTATGTGCACGCTGGAATTCTAAATACCAGCGTTCGACAGTCCGCAGAGATGGGGCTTCATCATGGAATACAGATGTTAGCTCTTCAAAACACTAAAGCCGTGTTAGGGTTCTTTTAAAGTTGTAGAAAATTATTGCACTAACACTTTCCTTAGTAAGATTTTATTTTATCCTCCTATCCAATCCTAATTAACTTTCAATTGTTTTGAGATTCTAAATTCAAACAAATTTCCGAACAGTTTCACATAGGATTTTATTTGTCGTGTAGTTTTTAGTAACTTAATAATATAATAAATAAAACCTTGTCATTTTGTTTATTATTTGATTATTAAACTATAGCCTCTAAATCGATTCTCTCTTTGTTACAAATTATCTCAATAAGATGTTTAAATAGATTTTTTATTCGATTTTACAGATGTAGAGATCTACATCTCTATAAACTTCAAATCTCATATGTACCCGTACCCATGCTATGTGCAATTGACTTTAGTAAGTTGTTTAACTCAGCTGCCCTACCAGAACATGTTCTATTTATGCTAGTTTTCGACCTTCTATTCCTCGCCCCGTAAATTTCAAGTTTGTGTTATCTGTTTTTTTTTTAAATCCCCCACTTAGTATTAATATCTGATTTTATTAGTACGAACAAACTTAAATTATAAAACTTATTTACATATATTAATATATCTTTAACGGTGATGGTATATCGTGCTGTTTTGTACTGTTTCAGAAGCCGGAATAGACTAAAGAGCAGTGTTAATTAATTGAATAAAAAAAAGTGTAACTCCCTTGACTAATTTGACATTGGGAAAATTCTTCAAGAGAAGCCTGAAACTTAAAAATAGAATAAAAGTTGTTTAACAACACCTCTCGCGTGCTTTCTTTTGCTACCGCACAGAGTTATCACCGGTTAGAGCAGTCCATTTCAATATTTTTATAAAATCTGACAAATTATTAAAATTCATCGAGCAGTTGTTGTTTATGATGTTAGTTATATAGTCCTGCGAGGTTGTTCGTATTTTACATGTAACTCTACATATATGTGTATAAGTTTGATGGGGAGAAAAATTTCTTTAAGAAAACAAATTCAAATTTTTATTCACCTAGACAACAAAGAACATTGCCTATAGCTATAGGCTTGCTTAGAAGCCTATAGCCTATTTGAAAGAAATACAACCTTGAATAGGTATACATTATAATACAGAGTGCTTCTCACAATGATTATTTTTAAGACGATTCTGTAAAAACATGAATTTCAAAATAAACTTTTAGTTTTTATTTTCATGCAGTCATTGCTGCGTCAGATACACTAATTGGTATTATTAGGTCTTTACTAATCGGTTTTACTTTTAGAGTTTTCTGAATGTCTGATCGAGATAGTACCGTATTAACACTGGCGCCCAATGAGGGCCACAGCTTGAAGTGAGAAGTTCAGTTAGGAACAGAGGTTGCTGGTCATATTTCCACTATGATGATGTTGCATTTTTAAACATAGGTTGATGCTGCGGATTTCTATTAAATTATTTCTACTAATAATAACAATATTAGTGTTGCAACGTTTTGTGGTTAAATTGAATAAATGTTTTTCTTTCAGTTTTTAACCCCCGACGTGATCGCGACGTGCGCAGCCGACAACACAGTGCGCGCGCGCACCGTGTACGGCGACGCGGCGCTGCTCGAGTGCGCCTGCCACTGTGGCAGGGTTAAACGATTGGCCACAGCACCTGACAACCCGCATCTTATTTGGTCTGCAGCCGAAGATGGACTTATATTGTAAGTAATGTGAAGATATCGGATTTATTTAACAACTTCAGTAGTTTTGATGGCAAGAAATGAAATGAAATGACGTTTATTGCAACCAAGGTACAAAAATAGATGTTACATGAAATTTTTGAATAACATGGCAGGGCAAAGCAAAATATTCTTAAATTTAGTTAGACTTATGGGATATTATTTACTCGTAAAATCTATTTCCAATAATTTAGTTAATGTGTGTTATAAATTACTTGGTTACGAACAGGGTACTTAATATGTACGAAATTTAAATACAATGAGTTCTTTTGTAACAGCTCGTTATCTTGCTGTCTCAGACAGAATAGTACCTATGCTTTTTTTTATTAGATGTGCCTTCAGATTGGAGGTGAATAAACTGTTTTTGGCTATTTTTTTTTATATGGTTGGGTGTTTTATCATAAATTTGTATTGCTCTGTAGTATGGATCAAGAAAAGAATACATTAAGAATAAACCCCTCCGTTTCAAGAAACAAAAACAGCTGTTCTTTAGCAACAAAGTACCACTTTACATAGCGTGCACCCAACCTATCATGGCCCCTCGAGTGTCGTCTTCGCATAGGCAAACCCCGCTTTCATACTCCTTCTGCAGGCCAATCAAAGCAGATTCACGTGTAACAACTCCAAAGCAACAGTAGCCACGTGTCCAGTTTTATATATTTAAAAATGAGCAATCATCCGCTTAAAGGCACTTTGCACGCGCGCCACTTTGGTTGGTTTCGGCTCATCTCGTAAGACCCATACTCGATTGCTGCTTTGTTTTGGGATCGTAACTATAAATCCATGTTTCGCCACCTGTTACTATGTCCCACACCAAATTTGACGCCCCTTCGTTGAATCTGGTAAGCATGGCATTGCACCAAGTGACGCGATCCGTTTTTTGCGCCTCAGTGAAATTGTGTGGGATCCACCGAGAGCACAGCTTTTTCACACCCAAATGTTTGTGTAGTATTGATTGTATTTGACTCATGCCTATGCCTAAAGATGCCCGAATCTCATGGTAAGTCACATGCCTGTCCGTTTTGATCATACGGCGCACAGCATCGATGTTCTTGTTGTTCACAGCAGTGGACGGGCGACCATCACGAAATTCGTCACTGAGATTCACACGACCACGTTTAAATTCTGCAAACCAGCTATAAATACTCCTCTTGTATGGTACTTCATCGCCAAAAGTTTGAAGCCGAGCGAAGCTCCGCTGTGCTGTTACATTACATTTAAATTTGTAGAAAATCATACTACGAAAATTTTCATGAGTTAAATCCATGGTGATGTAGACAACCAATTTCTAAAATGACGCCACTAGTAACAGTCAGATGAAACGAACTGTATTCTACAGCCAAAGAGTTCCAGTTTCAAATGTTGTAATTACTTTTTAAATATTGTTTATGTATGTGGCCAGTTTCGAGTGCGCCCTATGTATTATTATAATGATATCTTATTACAGGCAACACGATCTCCGAATGGCACATCGCTGTAATTCAGATACGGCAAACGTTCTGGTGAACCTGCTCAACCACATGGGCCGCTACGCCGAGGCCAAGTGCGTGTCGGTCAATCCACGCCGCCCGTACCAGCTGGCGGTTGGCGCCAACGACTTTTACGTGCGCCTTTATGATACAAGGATGATAAAACTGGCCAAGTTACAGGTAAAGTGTTTGATGACATTCATGACCAATAATTAGTGATCTGTTCTGGCATTGTACGCTTACGTTAAAGAAGGTCCAAAGCCAGTTGATACTATTTAAAATGGATAGTCTGGGGTTTTTATAGAATACCAGGAAAGTTTACGGCTCGCGAGTTGCACACGTCCGTTACGTTGTGCGATCTGTTAGCACGTCTCTCGTGCGCCACATGTATTAGCATGTATTTAACTGCCCGCATGCATCCTGCGTACGGCGCGCGCGCAGCGTATATGCAGCGCGTTCGCGGCGTATTCGCCAGATCTACAGATCCACAAATCATTTACACATTCCAGGCAACCTAACCTAAATAAATTAATAAATAAATAAAACCTATAAATCATTTACACATTCGTCGGCAAAATTTAAATTTACAAAATTTACCTCGTAACTCCAATTTTGACTTACTTTTCAAGCGCAATATCGGGCAATTAATGCTTAAAATATGATTTGCAGACCTTTCTTTGCTTATAAAGGTTTAATCATAGATTGTCATAAAATTATTTGTAGTAATTCTGTGTTTTGTGCTTACTCAAAAGTTCTAAAAGCTTTAGTAGCAATAGAGCTCCTTCTGAAAGAGACCGTCCAGGGAAGCAATACCACCTTATCAGTTTCTGCCGCCAAACTAGTGCTTGTGTGAACTCTAGTGGGTTTGAATGGTAAGGATGCTGGCGAAATTAACAAGCACATGGGACTAGCAACTTATGTCCCAGGTTGACAGGCGCAGTGGCAGTGTCCTTCAGATCTTTGTGATTTAAAGCTCTGTGTGGCACTGCAACTGCTATGGACAGGTGTGTCGCTTAACACCGGGCGCATGACTTTTTCGTTCTCTCACTTGGTAGTATAAAAGAAAAAGTTTACATTAATGGAGGTTACGAAATTGACGAATTAAGCCGACGAACACGAAACGTATCGCCAAAACGATATGTTCCATAATTAATAGATTTAGGCGTTACTTTGCAGAAATTCACGTTAGTAAAAATGGACGTAAAATTCTTTGCTACTTCGCGAATCCAATGAAGGTTCAATCATGCATACTAACTACCCCTGTGTTGCTTATTTTATTCAAGCAGTTAATGAAATAAGGTTAATTTAATTTTCGAACTTAAATTACTTTTCTACTCCGCGAAGGTTAAATCGAGCACTTGTGTTAAATTTTTGGCATGCAATTAATTTTCTCACCGTCCCTCCGCACAAAATTAATAAAATTCACAACACAAGCGCGTTTAAAGTCACAAATATCACCACGAACAATATACCTTACTATTACTAGAGTTCCTTGTGAAAGAGCTCGTCCAGGGAAGTACTGCCACCTTACCTATTTCTGCCGCCAAACAGGAATGTGAGCACTGTGTTCCGGTTTTGAAGGGTAAGGTTGCTGGTGAAATTACAGTCACATGGAACTTGTCAACTTATGTCCCAGGTTGAGATTTAAAGCTCTGAGTGGCCACAGGCCACAGCAAGTGCCACGGACCGGCGTGTCGCTTAACACCAGGCGTACGACTGGTTCGTCCCGTCACTGGATATTATTTATTATTATAAAAAAACTAAATTTTTGTTCTTAGCTGAATATGCCTTCTTTAAAACAGTAAAGTAGTGTAATTGGAGACACTTTGCCATTGGCCAATTCTGTCTGCCATTAAAAAGCTCCCGCCGCAGGCGAGCGCGCCGCCGTCGCGGCAGTGGGAGCGGCAGAACCTGCGCTGCTCCCGCGCAGGACACGGCGACCCCGACAACAACATTCCGCAGCACTCCGTCACGTACTACGCGCCAGGTACGGTGGTCCCTTAGGATACGAATATCGACAGTAAAACGCTACGCAAAATTTCATTAATTTAAGATACTATGTTACTTTAAAGGAAGGTGTGGTTTTTTCACATTTCTTCGCTTCGACGAAATGTGAAAAACACTTCCACGAGGAAAGCAAAATAGTAAAATTCTTTGAATGTAGTATTATTTACTGTTAAAAATAAAATAATGTCTTTTCGAAGCAAAATATCCTATCTATAGTCTGTCTTTTTTAAAGACGAAGTAATATGGCATTTGCAGGGTTATTAGTTTTCGTGAAATTGTTAATAAATCATATGTCGTTGTTGTCGACAGTTTTATCGATAGATACGTAAGGAGGTAAAATTTTGTTAAAATTTTTTGAATTGTGAATGTTCTAATCGACCCCTCCTACGTAAAGTATCGTATGTTGAAATTGCCAAGTTTACAGGGAAGCGTCTTAAAATTGTCAGTTTTATTCGGCAAAGCTCGTTACTCAAATAGAGTGATCATCTAATACATCATCTAACCGATATCTAGGATTTTATAATACTCTATGTGAGGAGCGAGCTTTGTCGAATAAAACTGAGAAATGCTAAAGTCACGTGTTGTGCTTATTTCAGTGAATTCAGAATATTTAAAAGACTCCTCTGTAAACTTGGCAATTTCGACATACGATACTTTACGTCGGAGGGGTCGTAATGATCTAAAGATATTGCCGTCTTTATTCTTATTTTGACAGTTGCCCTACCAGTATCGAAATCAATTTTTATTCATATGTATTTTAATAAGAACTCGCGGATTTGATTATCTATATTCAATTAAAATGAAAAACTTTAAATATGTCTCTTTGTATTTTTAATAGCCATAGTTGTAAATACGGTGTGTGTACGTATATACGAACTTACTAACATTGACAGCTTAAATAACGACGAGTAAAGGGCCGATGATGATTCAATAAAACGAATTCGGCTATTTATTCCATAAGCGTGACAAATATTCAGTCGATAGTCGATAGAATATTTATCGACAGCAATCACTAGCTGCTTGCAGGCGGGCACTTTTAACGCTTTTGCCCAATGAACTGTCATTTCGCTCCATCTTCAAAAAAGTCAGACTATACAATATTTAAAATACTTTCCCTACGTATCGCATAGCCGTGGGACAAACTGTATATCTCAGAGTATGGGGTCTGGTCATTGACTTACAATTATATGGACGTCGGGTCCGCGCTAAAAAGTGTCCGAACTTATAGGGCGTTAAAATCGTATACAGAGCGCCATTCATGCTTTAGTCTTCGTTTGTTCGACTGACAGCGAAGCAAACAAAATTAGACAGTACTGCGATGACATTACAATTTAAATTCAACGTTTTAGCTTTTTCAGGAATATGAAATAATATAAAATATCCTTTACATGTCACTACGTTTAAATAGGTTGACTTGGGACATTTTTTTCGTGGTTTTTGTATTAAACCCGTCGTCCATTTATTTGTAAGTCAATGGGTCTGGTAGTTTTTTCGTCCAGAAAGTCAGGAGCCGTCTCTTTTAGTGCAATTTTTTTTGCAATTTACTTGTGTATTTAGGTATAGATAAGGTCAGAAAGTACCCTTAACCGACGGCGGCGTTTATGAAAACATTGATATGTGTGTTGATGAGGCGAAATATATGTGAAATCAAATACAATTGTAACGCAAAAATGAAGAATTGGAAAAAAAACGCGATTTGAAAATGAAAAAAAAAAAAAAACTAAAACTATCTTATTGCAAATAATAATAATTACTTATCCACTTATAAATGAGAATAAAAATTTATTGGTTCCGTTCAATAATTATTTGAACTATCAAGTTGTGTTTTGTCAATCTTATAGTTTTTTGTTTACGACAGTATTTGATTTCATGTGCGATGTGTCGGAAAAGGCAAGTTCAGGACTGTAGTTTCTGCCTACCACTATAGAAAAAGGGGCGTGAAGTGTATGTATGTATGTTTTTAGTTTGTTTAGTTGGAACCCATTAAGAAACGCATCGCGAAGTCGTTCATATCAAAAGCGACTGTATGCAAAGGGAACAAGACAATTAACTTTTGCTCTAACCAGGTCACCTGTCTATGGAGCCAAATGAACACACGTTCCCGAAGAAAGCGACGACGTACGTCGCCTTCAGTCACGACGGAAACGAGCTGCTCGTCAACTTGGGGTCGGAACAGGTACTCTATACGCCTAAGTCTCCACCAGATTATACTTGATTTCTTCTAGGATCAAGAAAAACGTAAACAAAGCTGCAGAGATTGTAAACCTTTTTCTTCAATCCAAATTACAGTAAAGGAAAATATCATCAGAACTAATGACGTTAACAAATGACGTGATAATATTATACTATTATTGTTTTATAAAAGTTTCCGTTTAATATTTGGAAACTCTGTTTCTTTAAGTTTTTTATAGTGCAAGTCTTTGAAATACATTAAAACTTACTGTATTTTAAAATAATTTACATACTAACGGTAGATTTAAAAAAAAATAATTAAGGTAGTAAACATGTTTGAAAATTTCGTTTCACAGTACATATTTATTAAAATGCTTTGCTTACAAAATGACTGAACTAAATGGTGCCTCATGAAAGACTCAAAATTTCCATCTGCCTAATGTTAAAAGAAAACGAAGTGTAAATTTTTTATAGCGCGTATTGCATCCTTAGTAATAAAATTACGGAATTTGATAATTAACACTTAGGATTTTTTTCTATTTAATATGAAAAGTCATGTCGACACTGGAATGTTAAAACGTCTAACGTTTTACCTTTCCAGGGGTCGATACAATACAATAGAAATACTCCTTATTACACACAAAAACATACAAGACACATGACTTCTTACCTATGGCAATCACATCCAGAAAGTCAAGTAATTAGTGTGATTCTGGCACATTCACTGATATTTCCAGATCTTACCTGTATATTTAATGACCTGAACCTGACTGTGAATATTCCAGGTGTACCTATTCGATATCAATTCAGCACCCCGCCCGGTCCTGGTAGAGAGCTTTATCATCCAGCAGAATCACAGCCACCGTGATGATGATAAAACTGATCAGCCGAAGAACGGCACTACCAGCGCCAACGGCACCACCAGTGGTACCAACGGCACTACCGACCAACTGCTGCCTGACAGGGTCAGAGAGATCAAGGAGATGGTGAGACGTCATTACCAAACAATGCTTACATCATCGAGTACTTAACCAGAAATAGAGACGAAATAAGGGCCGTACATTTCTGGTAACCCGTCAGTGATACATCACTTATAAATATCAACTCTCGTTTGCACTGAAATAAAGACAGCGCCAACAACTGACCTGTGTGTACGTCTCCGTATATTCCAAAAATATTGTGTATTTATTGTAATAAAGATAATATCTCTAACATTGGGGCTGTTCCATTCGGTGGTGTGGGGAAAACAGCAAAACATCTAATTACAAAACAAACGGAATCACATTTCATCGGTAATTTAATATTAAATATGTATTTTTGCAATTTTCGTCCATTATAGAAAAGTTCAAGTTAACTGGTCGATTTGAAGTGGAATGTACAACACCCGTCAATTGTTTGGAATTCGGGCTGGCCAATCGGAGCACAGTTGTCACAGTAATGATATGGCAGAATAGTTTTCAAACAAATTAAATCTGGTTATATACTCGATGGCTTATATAGACTGTGTTTTGGTGTTTTTTTTATTTATTTGGGTCAACAAACAGTAGACACAATTAAAACTTAAAAGTAATTTTTTTTTACAGTAAATATGTAGTGATTGTGTCACCAACACCGTTAACCACTAGTTACTACAAAAAACTGAGAAGTGGTGATGCATTTCTTTTTGTTGGTTGGCCTCTCAATTGTACAGATTTTGTCGTGGGTTGGGTTTAAGTTGCTTTGGTTCTTCTATTTTCATTATCCTTCAAGACGCGTCTTGGTCAATCAAGCTTATTACTCTTTGGACATATTCAAGTTTAGTTAAGTTCTGCTATTGTCGGTTGAATCTAATCCGGCTGGAAGGATCAAACACATCGACCCCTCCAACGTAAAATCGACCCCTCACACGTAAAGTATCGTATGTCAAAATTGCCAAGTTTACAGGGGAGCCTTTTAAAGTTCTGAATTCACTGAAATAAGCATAACACGTGACTTTAGATTTCTCACTTTTATTCGGCAAATCTCGTAACGCACACACAAATAAATAAATAACGCACACACTCAACATAGCCCCGCACTAGGGAAACCCTGTGTCGCGGGGGCCATGGACACACATATAGACAACCACAAATTACACCCAAACTCACGAGAGAAATAAATGTAGGCCATACAAACATTTCTCCCGGCCCGGGAATCGAACCTGGGACCTCTGCGTGGCAGTCCGGCATGGTAACCGTTCGGCCACGGAGGCAGTTGAACACACGTTGAGTATCATAAAATCCTGGATATCGGTTAGATGATCTATTAGATGATCACTCTATGTGAGTAACAAGCTTTGCCAAAGGAAACGGAGAACTTTAAAACACTCCCCTGTAAACTTGGCAATTTCGACATACGATACTTTACGTAGGAGGCGCCGAAATATCGTATGTCGAAATTGCCAAGCTTACAGGGGAGCGTTTTAAAGTTCTGTATTCGCTAAAATGAGCGTAACCCGTGATTTTAGCATCTCTCAGTTTTATTCGGCAAACAGAGTATTATAAAATTCAATTTATCGGTTAGATGATTCATGATGATCAATTAGATGTTCACTCTATGTGAGTAACGAGCTTTAATTTATGTATTTGTTTGTTGATGTATTTTTTGCAGGTAAGTTTGTTTTATCACAAATTTTATACGAGCTGAAGATTGGTGAGCTTAGAGGGACTAATTTTATTCAGTCACATTACATCATAGGCAATATTGCAGGCGAACGACCTGGTGAATAAAGGCAACTACTCAACGGCGGTGGACTTCTACAACAACGCGATAGCGGAGTGCCCGTACTGCGCCATCCTGTACTCCAACCGCGCCGCAGCACTGATGCGAAGGGCGTGGTACGGTCTTTTTTTATACCAAGCGACGGGACGAACAAGTCGTGCGCCTGGTGGTAAGCGACACGCCTGTCCGTAACGATTGCAGTGCCGTTCAGAGCGAGACACACCCTAAGACATAAGCTAAGTTGAAAAGTCCCACGTGTCTGTAATTTCACCAGACCTACGCTTCAAAATTTGTTTAAGGTGAAAAGGTCGCAGGTTCCTGTTTCTGGCTCAAGAGTCATTTGTCACCATTTACCTATTCCAAAGTGAACGGACACCCTTCGTCCCGCACCGAAATTAACTTCCTCACCCCGCTGATTGCCAATTAATTGCTCCGTACAAGCATCCGTTTACTAAGGGAACTGTGTTTTAACCCTCTCCTTGGAGACCCGTGTCTTGCAGTGGGACTTATAGAGGGTTGATGATAATGTTATAAGTTATTATATTTAATTGTAACAAAATGGATGGACGCTCAGCATATCGCACTTGACAAGTAACATAGTATTAACTCAAAAATTACGTTATATTATATTCTATCTGAAAATTGCGTTATGTTAATAATTTATTTCCAAAATTTCGCTATATTTGTATGTCATTCGTATACGATTTAATTTCAAAGCGACAGTGTTGTCCCGTCACGAATAGGTAATATTAATACAACTTAAAACAATTTTGAGATAGTACTATATTGGTTGTAATGTGTGATATATTGATATTAACTCTTTTATTTACTATTCGATCCGGGCTCAGCAGTGGGACAGATAATAGGTGGTGATGATGACGTTTTAGTAAAAAATATTATTTGTAAATTGGTTATTTATTTTGTAAAATATCACAGTGTTTTTACTGCCATAAATAATTTGTAAAAATAATCCACTAGTTTGTTGTTATTGTTTTGATACAAAGATCAAACAAAGACAAAGAAAAAATCCTTCTATCCGGTTTCACTCGAACCAGCGACTTTTCACCAAACCGGGGCCAATCGCAAATTGGTTAATTCACATAATGACCCATGTCACAGGTCCGGCGACACGTACGCGGCCATCAAGGACTGCTACCGGGCTATCAAGCTGGACCCCACGCACGTCAAGTCGCACTTCCGCCTCGCCAAGGCGCTTATGGAGCTGCAGCGGCCGCGGGAGGCCAGCGAGTGCCTCAAGTACTTCAAGGTATGCTGCGGAACACGGCCCCAAGTCGGCTAACTTTAAATCATCGCAGTTGTCCGTCGATAGAGTGTCAATGGCAGACGACCGGTCTCATCCAGACATTTTGTAACACTGAACGCTAATTACTTTAATTCGGACTGTGTAAGTAATTCACAAATCTTCACCATATGTTATCTGGTTGAGAATAAGTTCGATCTAATCGTTTTCAGGACAAATTCCCGAGGCACGCAACAAGTCACGCGGTATTCCTGCTGCAAAAAGACATCACAGTCGCACTCGACAACATCGAACGGCAACCAGATGACGGTAAGTTGCTGAATATAGACAAAGAAGGACAATAGTTCATTACCAAATATACAAAAGAACAACCCGACACCTCCTACGTAAAGTATCGTATGTCGAAATTGCCAAGTTTACAGGGAACCATTTTAAAGTTCTGAATTCACTGAAACGAGCATAACACGACAAAGCTAATCTAATAGATCATCTAACCGATATGTAGGATTTTAATTGTAAATACAAATATAGCGAAATTTTGGAGATAAATTATTAACATAACGCATTTCTTGAGATAAAATATAATATAACGCAATTTTTGAGTTAATACTATGTTACTTGTCAAGTGTGATATGCTGAGCGTCCATCCATTTTGTCACAGAGTATTGACTCTGTGTAACTGTTTGCCGAATAAAACTGAAAAATGCTAAAGTCACCTGTTATGTTCCTTTCAGTGGATTCAAAACTTTAAAACACTTCCCTGTAAACTTGGCAATTTCGACATACGATACTTTACGCAGGAGGGGTCGATGACTCTAGTGAGGTATCTTACCGATTTTTTTATTTCGCAATAAAAAAAAGGCGACATAGCTTTTTCGACTGAAATAAGTACGTCACGGGGAGGTTTATCACACATTGCATGTGATATACTGCCATGAAATAAATAAACCCACATTAAATTTAAAGAACGCGTCTACATTTTTTTGAGCCTGACTTTTCGTTTCTATGCTAAAACCTTTCCCATGAGACTAATCAACAGCATTGTGGTATTTGTACCCGTCAGTTCGTAATTCTAATGACGAGGACAGCCAATCAACGAGCCTCCTCGAACGCGAACTGCGCAAAACAGCATTGGATTACAAGCACCGGTTCGTGGGGCACTGCAACACGACCACGGATATCAAAGAGGCTAACTTCCTTGGACCGGACGCAAATTACATTGCTGCCGGGTAAGTTTGTTAGATTCCATATTGAATTTATCAGAATCTTTATTTATTTAAAAAACCGTGGTGGCCAGAAGCCGTGAGTTCGAATCCCGGGGTCGCATATTCCGGTGTTGTTCGAAATTTGTGTGCGAAATTGAATTTGAAATTATCTTCATGAAACTTGCACGTTGAAGAAGTTTCACAACCCTCTGGATACGTGTGAAGTCCTCAACCGGCATTGGGCCAGGGTGGCCCACTATGGCCTAAACCCACCAGTGGGACGTACAAATGTGTTGATGATGATTTATTAATTTGAAAGATTTGTTGATGTACAGACATTAGTGTTTGTAATTGTTTAGTGCGTATGCGCACTAAAGTCTGTTCCAATCCATTTTCAACAAAAAGTAAACAAAACTGTTTGGTTAACATTCTAAAGGAATTACTCAATAAATGGAATAAGTAACACTTTCACGTATATATCAAAAATTTCAACTTGATATCTCAACACTTTTTCCAACAATATTTATTTGAATAGCATCGTAAAATTGTATTTGAAAAATGGTAGTCCAAAAGTGAGATTATTTTTCATCTATATATCTATGACTTGTCTACGGTTGCATAGTGTTGTACGAAACAAAAAACCATTCAGTTCATTCAAGTAAAGTTTTTGTAATTGATTAGTAAATCTAATATTTCAATCGCAATCGAACGAGCATCTAATTGTAAGGATTTTGAAGGAGGACTTAAAATTAAGATTTTGGAAATTTTAAATATGCTTATATAGGTTATGTTGGGAAAACCTGACCAAATAACTCAATTGAACAAATCGATTTATTCAATTTCATTCATTTTTCATTAATCGATTTGTAGTTGGCATTACAATTGATCGTCACTAAACCGTCTATGGTCGGGTCGGTTACTTGTTTGTTTACATTTTGTTGAAAATGGATTGAAACGAAGTATACGTCCGATTTGTATCAGGGGGTCTACTCCCGATCTCCGACCGACATCCGTCCGAAACAATTGCTGCCAAATAAGCAATACTTGACCAAATGAAAAGACGCGTGATGCAAATAAAGCTTCATACTTGATACTTGTCTTTTAATTTTGTCAAATATTACTTGTAATCGAGAGTAGACCCCCAGTTCCGAATCCGAGAGATGACGGTCCAAAATGTCACAGGGATCATTCTATCTCTAGATGTAGAATACAAAGAACAATTATATTATAGGTTAGTGTTCTTATAGGTTATTGCCTACCTTATAGGTTATATTATACATTATTATTCTTTGGCGGAAAAAATGCGTGACGTCGATTGTTTAAATAACGCTTCTAAACGCTGCTTTGATAGATAGAGGAGACCCGTGTTTAGTCGCGGGACGTATGAGTTGATGATAATGATGATCGTTAACATGTTCATATTGTGTTCAGTTCCGACGACGGCAGCATGTTCATCTGGTGCCGCAAGTCGGGCAACATAATACGCTGTCTGCGCGGCGACGAATCCATTGTGAACTGTATCCAGATGCATCCTTCCATGTTCCTACTAGCCACCAGCGGGATCGAGGCGGTCGTCCGGCTTTGGAGTCCCAGGCCAGAGGTAGGTTTTTGTGTATGTTCTGATATCGACAATCTGTTAGTCAATCGTAAACCGTATGCGATTTGCAAGAAGCAAATGGAAAACACTCTTAAAAAGAATTTAGAGCTTCATTTTTTCTTCCATACAACTTGGGTCCAAAGGTGTACCTCAAGTTTTATCATACATTTTATTATAAAAAATTACGGCGAATTCTTAAAAAAATAAATAGAATTTATTAATCACGTGTACCACTAAAAATATCGTTCGAACATATAAATGACTGGTAACACAATAATTGTACATGGCAATGTTTGTACTTTAAATGGTAGCTATCCAGATATCGGGATTCTTTTCTCTATTACTCACATATACTCTCGGACCCAGTTTGTAATAGTACATTGTGTTTAAGGGCGATTAATAAGAAATTACGAACGAGAGTCTACTGAAAGCCCGAAACCGAAGGCTGAGGGCTTCAATGACTCTCGAATCATTGAAATTTTTTTTTTGGAAATTTGGAACTTTTTTATCGCACGTGCTACATACAATGTTTTTCATCACATTTGCGAGGAAATAAATACAATGGTAATATATTTTTTGTATGAATAAATATCGCTTCACAACGCAAAAATTACAGTTTTTGCAAATGGCGGGTTTTTGTTTTTTTATATGAACAGATAGATGACCTGCTGTTCTCCATGGATAATACTACTCGAACTAAAATGTTGTAAAAGATAAAAACGCTTACAGACATGATATAACAGAAATAATTTTAAAATACTGAGAATGCTGCAGAATTTGAAGTTATAAAATGAATTTAGCAATGTTCAGTTTTTTTCTATACTTCAAGCTTATATAAAATAATTCAGATTTTTCGAGCATTAAAACTTTTTGCCTTATCGTAACGTACGGGAGAAGTACGGTGCAATGAAATAAAGAAATCGTGTAATGGAAAAGCCCGTGAGCGTAATTCAGCACATTGCCGCCGACTTTGCCTGCACGTATGGCGCTGCTTACGACAAGTGTGTGGCCGCAGGACGGGTCGTGCGAGAAGCGCGTGGTGCGCGACGCGGGCGCGGCGGCGCACGCCAACCAGCAGCGCATGCGCAGCGACCCCTTCGAGGCCATGCTGCTCAACATCAGCTTCGCGGGCGGGCCCGACCGCGACCTGCACTCGCCGGCCTGCCGCACCACGTGAGTGCCCCCACCTCCCCCTCCCCCTCACCCAGATATCTTTTTATTTTATTTCACTATACATTTCCGCGTTCCAGGTAATTGACGTCGTCGAAGTCCATCGACACTTATTGGGTTTGATTCATCACATTGTAAATAACATTTTATATCATTGTTGATCTTTGTTCAGTCTCGCTTTCGATTTGAAGCATATCGAAATGCTCTAACCTCTACTCGTGACCGGCGAAAGGGTGCGCTTCGGTAAACGTGCCTAAATATTTGGCAAAAAGTAATAAATATCATAGTTGAAAAATGTTGAAGCTTGTTTTTATTCGTGTTAAAGATCAAAATACAGTAACCTGTAACTGGCGTTTTGGTAGCTGGCGGTCCGATAGTTGACACGTCTGTACGCGGCATGCTCGTAGCTTACATACCTGCGGCTAGGGGACCTATGGCTGGCATACCTTTTATGTACATATACATGCCAATTACCTTAAACCGACCTGTCACGGACAGCCGGGGTGCCAGTTACAGGTGTGTGCATATTGGACTGCACCATTAAACATCGGTAAACGTCGAATGTGTATTGCGTGGACTGTAGCGATACCTTTTACTTTTCAGTTAATGGCAAAACAAGTGAATGTTGTAGATTGTGTTTATGATGGAAAGGAGACAAAGTTGGTTAATTAGTATTTATTACGGTATGTGTATAGTGGTGTAATTCAATTCGTTTTCGCTGTGTTATTTATTAATTTTTGCCTGCACTAACTATGCGACCCTAGTGCGAGTTCTCGTTTCCTATAGAATGGTGCCAAGTTTGTTTTTTTCAATTTAAATGATGTCAGTAATTAAAAATGATGATTCGAATAGTTAAACTAATAAACATACTGTTTATAAAGGGTGTAACACAGTTTCATAATTGCAACCACGAGCTCTAATGTGGTCCGATCATTTTGGGTGAACTCTGTATAAAATTCTTGAAGGGCCTCATTCTTAAAGCGAAAAGATTATGAAATAACCATTTAGGTTTGTTATTTTCAATAACAGCTGTTCAAACATGTTCAAATACTTTGAATTTTCCATAAAATAAATCTGCAAAAAAGTTTTTACTTTATCTATCGACCGCTAGGGGCGCTACCCTATTGTGCAACGCCTCTAGCAGTCAGTAGAATAATGAAAATTTTTCGATACACTTTGTTTGAAATTGCTAGTTAAGTAATGGAAAGCTTAGCTCGCCATCTTTGCTTAGTTGAAGTTAAAGCTCCTTTTATGAATCTCACTCTGAGAATGAGTCCCTGAAGTTCAAAGCTACCCAATCTACACTGTTATGTTAATAGCAATTTAAGTTTTTGGAGTAAACTCAAAATTTTATTTTTAAAATTCCTTTAGTTGTCCGAAGTTATTTACCTGTGAATATATTTTAATTGTAAATAAAATACTAGCATATTATACTGGCATCATTAAAATAATGATTAAAATTCCAAATTAATGATGTTTAGTTCTCATCACAATGGAGTGCCTGAATTTATTTATTTAATACTACGTTTCGGCATTTCCATGTTGATAATCATAATTTGATAATCATAGAATATTGATAAATCAGTAATTCATCTTTATACATTAGTGAATTTAGCAGCGATTATAAGAATAAAGAGGGAATTAACATGACTGAATTATTTATATATTTCTTTAGTTGAATAGAGTGAAAATGGTCATTCTCATTTGTATCACTCTAAATATCATTTATGTGGCTTAAAATTTGTAATTAACTACACAAAATGGTTCAAAAAGAAGATTTTAAAAAAACATTCACACTTTATAACACCAAATTCAATTCCTTTGGCTAGTCCGCTTCGATAGCCCATTGCGGGCTAGTGACTGATCCGAACAGGCAGTAAGTAATTTCACTGGATGATACGAATAGTTTCCCGTATCCGAGTTGCAATTACCGCCACCTGGTGAGCAAAAATGTTACCACGTGGCACCTGTTGCTATGCTCTCGGGTCTTGCATATATACATACCATCATACATGCCAGAGTTTTCTGGGTACTTTTCATCGTCGATTTCCCCCCACTTTTTAAACGACTTCTCGTTTTGTATTTAGTAATGTAAATAACAATTAGCTTATATTATTAACTCGTAATTTGGAGCAACGAAATTGACGTTTTTATTAAGCGTTATTACAACGGGAATGACCATGTTTATCAACATTTTTGTATACTTAGTTGAATTACTGGGCATTCATTATACTGTGGTAAAGCTGTGATTACACTAGAGTTTGCGTGATTTGTATTGCACAAGTGAGGTTTTCTGGTCGGTACAGTTAATTTTTAGTGCCATTTTCACGTAGACAACCAGCTTGTAAAAGTGGACCAGTTAAGTTTGAACCATCGCCATGTGGATTTTCCAAGAACTGTTTATTACTACCTAAATGTCCACACAAGCGCTATCATTTCACGGTTCATATGTAACTTGTCATTTTACATGGTGCTCTTATGTTATTTACGGTTAGTTTCCGTTAAAATCTTTAAAATAATTATTTCAAATTATTATATTGACTATGTTACTATTAATAATAATTATTATTATCCTTTTAGAGCTTGTTTTAACTGTTTGTCGACTGTTTTAGTAACAATCTTCTATCCTGTACATGAAAATTCATAATAATGGACTTGTGCCTGATCGATTTTTAAAGAGAGCGATTCTTTCTAAAGTCTGTTTTTTTTTGAAGACGGAGTAAAATGACAGTTCATTGTGCAAAAGTGTTGCCCGCTTGCGAGCAGCTATTGATTGCAGTCGATAAATATTCTATAAACTATCTACTGACTATTGGTCATGCTTATAGAATAAATAGCCGAACTTGTTTCATTTGAATCATCCATTTTTCATCCAACCCATTATTCATCCAATTACTCCAGTAACAGTTCATTTGAATTGTCAATTTTTATAAGTTAATATACACATACACTGTATTTAGAACTGTGTTTATGAAAAATACAAAGAGGAGACATATTTTGAAGTTTTTCATTTTAATTCAATATAGATAATCAAATCCGCCTATTCTTGTTAAAACGTATATGAATGAAAATTGATCTCGACTTTAATAGACCAACTGTCAAAATAACACTAAAGAAGGCAGTAACGCAATTAGTAATTCATTCATCATCAATTCATTCAGTCATTTTTGTCAAAATTTTATCTTACTCATCACAATCTATCGATAAAACTATCGACAACAACTACATAACTATTTAATTATTTTATGAAAACTGGCAACCCTACAAATGGCATTTTACTTCGTCCTCAAAAAGAACAGACTGTAGTTCAATCGGTCGGTCTTCTAGTTCATCTAGTTCCTTAAATCGTCTTGTCCTTGCTCAGACATTGAACGAACCCTCCAAACTAGTTGTTTTATTCACATGAAGCACTACGGACTTCTAGTACCTATTATGAGGTTAATAGTACTCTATACTAAATATTTATACATACAATTTGTATGGAATCGGTATTATTTGGTTTCCTTCAAACTTTACAGATTTAAGACTGTCATTCTAATTAAATATCCTTTTTTTTTTTTCAAAACAATAATAACGTAATTTTAGTTTACGCTCGCATAGTTTGAAAGGACAATGGCGAAATCATTGTTAAACGAATTCTTTAGCGTTTTCAAATGTCATAATTACAAGTCATATCTACAACTGTCAGTTTCTTAGTTTCTTAACGTTAAGCGACATCTAGCCACCAGAAAAATGATATTCTGGTGGCTAGATGTAGGTGATAGGTTCACATTAAGTTAGTTCACGTAATATCAAATGTACTGATTCGATCGATTTGCAATAAAAGATCAACTACTTTATTGCATAAAATAAAGTAGATCTAGAATAATCTGGTATCTGGATAATCAGGATTTTCGACTCGATTATTTAATTTGAACTAATTTCAGCTGTAATTGTCTAAAACTAACGCCATACCTGCCTATAATACGGAGGCGCCGAAATGATCCGACTGAACTTTGAATTGAAACGTCAAATCGACTGTGAACTGGCAATCGGTACTATCTCAATTTTGACAACTTAACAGGATGAAGAAAAAAAGTGTTTGTGACATTTATATAGCATCTGGTTTATTAAATAATAATAAATAAATAGCTTTTAATATTTTTATTACATGTATGTACACTACATATTTTTATTTATTAAACCAGATGCTATATAAATGATTTTTTCTTCAAAGTTGTCAAAATTGAGGTGGTACCGGTTGGGCAGTTCGCTGTCGAAATGTTATTCGCGAAACCTATCTTGAATGGTGAAATTTTGATGAAATTACAGGCAAATGGGACTTGTCAACCTATGTCTCAGGGTTACGTCACATTGGCAGTGCCCCTCAGAGCTTTGCGATTTAAAGCCCTGAGTGGCACTGCAACTATCATGGACAGGCTTGTAGTTTACCATCAGGCGCACGACTTGTTGTCCCGTCACTTGATATTATATATATAGTATATTATTGTTATAGGCTTGTTGTGTCCCACTGCTGGACAGAGTCTTCATCCTTTTTCCATTTGTGCTAGTTTTGGTTTGCATCTGGCCCGTCGTTTACAAAATTAATATAAACTGCCGCGTCTCCGTTTTGACCTGAGCTAACTATTGGGGCCGTGGGGGGTCAATATGACCGGGACGACATACCTAAGTTTGCGATGCTCGTTCACGCCGCCAACGGCAAATGACCGAATAAAACTAAACGAAACAAATGTTATCTGAACCACAAAAAGGTGGCGACGGCATATGAACACAATCGCGCCGAGGCTGCCCGAAGTACTTTTGTAATCGTGAAAATAGAGAGGGCAACAAATCCTTGAAACAAAAACAAAATTTGAAATTTACTATGAGCTTTTTGGTGAAAAAGAACACCTTTATGAAACTGCACGTCGAAAAAGGTTCACAACCCTCTGAAAAACTCCCTAACCCGCATTGGGCCAAAGTGCCCAAGGACTGACCTAAACCCTCGCCTGATAAGAGACCTATGCCCAGCAGTGGGACGTACAAATGTGTTGATGATGATGGATTTTTATTTGCACGATCTGTCAAAACATAAAAGGCACGAGTCGTTTTTGTAGGTCAAATATTCTGTATCCTTCTAAAGGTTAAGGGAAGTCGGGAAGTTTTTTTTTGTGTTGTATTTGCGCGCCGGCGCATCATTTAATCTTGTGTTAAAATAGTCTTTAGCGATGGCTGTGTTTTATTCGAGGCGAAGGGTAAATAAGTTCTTTAGTGTAGTCACAGTTTGTGAAAATCGCGCTGTAGAGATGACAATGGTTCACATAACAATAATGTGTGTGTATAGAAATAAATTTATATAGTAAAGTATGGTTACCTCGTTTGTTGAATTGACGTCAACTTTAGCATCTCATTATGTCTGTTATAAAGCGGTTTTTCATTGTCATTCGAGAATGTCCTAAGAAGCAGTCTGTAAAACATCAATGTCAGTCACCTGTGACAGTGTAACATATTGCAAATTGTTACTGACCAATCAGAAACCATTATTGAAACCGTATTATTGGTCGATTTATATTTTAGTCATTAAGTCTGTAGCTCTAGTGAAAAGGGGTACAAGTCAACATACGCTATAAACATATGACATTAAGTGTCAAGTGTTTTGTCGCATTTCCTTGTAAAGATGGCTTTTTTACTCATACCTCTTCACTAGAGCCACAGAATTATTCTAAAAGTTCCGTATGATATCATTTAAAACAAACGAGTCAACCACAACAAAGTAAGTTTGTATTAAATTAAAATAGTTATATTTATATAGTAACACCAAAATAGCATAAGATTTTTAATTCCCTTAAAAAGTTACAAATTGTACTAAGAATTTAGGTCACATAAGGCCCGTGTCTTGATGAAAATTAACACCGAAGTGAAGACGAATAGCACCGAAGTGGACAGGATTTTCTATAAACTTTGACCCCCTAATCTTTCACCGCTCAGTATAGGGCACGAGCGGTTGAAGATGTGGCAGACCTTAAATGGCGTTACTTATAATTCAACTTCAAGTAACATACATAAAGTGAATAATATTTTTGGTAGCAGTAGAGTTCCTTGTGAGAATTCGCCCAGGCAAGTGCTGCCACCGTACCTGTTTGTAATGTAAGCGTTACAGCGTTTCGGTTTTGAAGAGGGCTGGTGAAACTACAGGCACATGGGACTTGTCAATTTTATATTTCAGGGTGACTGGGATAGTAGCGGCGTTGAATCTGTTGTGGGTAGGCGTGTCACTTACAATCAGGGCACAGATTACTTAATAGTTACAGATACGTAACGTAACAGATACGTCAGTTCGAAGAAAATCGATAATACCTACGCTATAATAGCCTACTAAATCTGACAAATGACACCAGGCGCTCGCTACGAGGAAAAAGGAACACAAGCACGCTCTCAGAGAGGTGAAACTAATGTTGCCCGCCGTGTGCAGTCGTGCGCAGCCGAATGCTCATAAAGGAAGGACTTGTATGAGCGCTTGTGCCGACGTCGGTACACTCAGCCGTAGGCACTTATCGCGTAACCTTGAGCGAGTGATGGAGCCTTGACGAAGCGCACGACTTTTCAACATTCGTATTATAAAAAGAAAATTGAAATCAGAATGATTTCAAATAAAAGGC